GAAATTTTCATTAGTTGTGTTCCCCAACTTTTCTGGGTTAAAACCTTTCAAAACTGTCAAAAGGCAAAAGAAGCCAGAGAACCGAGAACGGAAACGCTTTCTGGTAAATTCCTGTAAATTCTTGTAACTTCTTGCGAGTTAGGGAACGCAACTATTTCTAGTTGTGTATTTTAGATATTTTTAAGAAACTAACATAAAGAGAGTGCACTCGGCACCTACTGATTCGTAGACTGCTTAAAAATTAATTAGTACGGAAGCGGGAAATAAACACACTAGTCAGGCAGTTTCTGTAGTTCCCTTTCGAGTGAGTTTCAAAAGAAGTCAATTTGAATTCAAAACGAATAATAGTTAATATATGACCTTAATATTTCCGATCATAAATAACCATCAACTTTTGACTTGTTTTCAGTCAAAAATACTGGTTAAAATTTCACTTTTATTTTTCGATCAAAACAAAACAGTTTACTATCGATCTTCATATGGTTTTATTGCATCGCTTATTTGCTCATCGTTGCGTAGCAATAAAGCGTTTCTGACTTATACGCTTAAAAGCAGATGAAATAAGGGCTGAGTTTTAATATTTTCTTTTTAATGTTACTTTGGACTAACAAAAAAGAGTCAAATCTTCATGTCTATTTTTAGCTGAAAATTACCTGTCAAAAAATAACAATTAATCCTTGACTTTTTTTTTTAAAGTTAAATCATAATTTAAAGATTAATATTGCTCAGCTAACACGCATCAAATAATAAATATAATGTACCTAGACAACTTATTTCCGTGCGACTTCTTGAATTGAAATTTCGAAAATATATAACTGTTATTTTCGATTCCTGCAAAATAAATTTTTTCGTTGAACTACTTTAAAATCGTTAAAACTAAATATTTTTTGGATTATTCAGGGGGCTCTTCCGACCGGTAATTTAAAAAAAAAGCTAGTTAAAGCAAGTTTGCCTACCAACTAAAAAATATAGCAATGCTTTTTAAAAAATTTAAGCTCATTTAATACCACAATATGGTTATCGAGCGGTATAAACTTTGGACGAATAAAAGGTTTTTGAAAATACTGTAAATCACCAATACTCTTGGTTTGGTTTGCCGCTTGTGTAGAGTTAAAAAAAAAAACAAGAAGATTCCAAAAACTTAAGGAAGTACGAAAATATTGCCGACGCTAATCTCTTTCTCCGAGATCATATACCAGCTGATAGACAGTTTTTTTTCTTAAACGTTAAAAGGAGAACGATTGAAGTCGTCGTACTTCCCGAGGTCATTGCGATTATGTAAATACTCGTATGTAAAATGTTCCTTAAGAAGTCTGCCAAAATAAATCTGAGCTGTTCCGGTGACGCAAACCCGACGACTTTAGTCAATAGTCTTTCCCCATGCTGGCGAAGAGGAGCCTTCTGTGTTGTAAGCCATGGACCCGTTTTCCAACGTCCATGTTGCTCTTTGAACCGTCGATATCGGCGTCTTTAGAGGTTTAGTTTGGGCTTTTTTCACAATAGGACCTGTTCTAGATTAATACTTTGCAGGTGTATTTAATATTTAACCCCGATCTATTAACAAAGTCGATACGAAATCCTTCGTCCGAAAGTAATAAAGAGAAAATATAAAAGTGGTTCTCGCAGTCTATGTAATCAACCCCCGAGATGGGTTTTGCTGCAAAAATTTAAGTGGTATATGCACGCTTGCTTAAGTAATACCGTAAGAAGCTCTGCTGTCCAGCACAGTGAAAATTTACTGACTTTTTAAAGCGTTATGTTGTATTTTATTGAAAGATATAGTGCTCAAAAGCAAGGCTATTTAGAGCTTTGTTTCAAGAATTAAGAGAGACAAATCAGATTTTTTAAATAAGTGTGAAAGGAAATATGAAACAAAAATCTGCTGTACTATGCTATTTTTTGCACAAAAATGCGAGATCAATTGCATGCATTTTTTCGATTTTGGCTGACAATTGCTCGGATTCGCCCACATACATGACTATAGCTAAGTGCGAGTTCCATAAGACCATGTCATCATGAGCTAATTTATGGCCATTTTCTCAAGTGGCTTTTAAAATTTAGATATATGCTCTTCAAAAAAATTTTTTTTGGCAAAAAATGTGTTCGAGGGGAAGATAAATTTTAAAACTTACTTGTACTATATTGGTAATATATTGGTAACAATACGTTTCCTTTTTCCTGGCGAAAAACGATATTCTTTATTTTTAGATGGCTGGGACTAACTTAAATGCCTTTCTTATATTATTACACTGTTTGATATTTTAAATTTTTACTGATAGTTTTTTTTTGCTTCGTTCTGTTTCATGAGTTTTTGGTAATTTTTGCTTGGCCCCTGATCTCTATATTAGAAATAAAGCAGTGCAATTAACTGGGTTGTGCGTGTGCCGAGAGAATTGAAAATTTGTCTTTTTATCATTAAGGTAAAAATATCCCTTTTGTAACGAGTACCAGTTTTAAAACAATGCTATACACTTTTGTAGAAAAAAAGAACTAAGCCGCCCTGTGAACACACGTGAGTGCGATTTTCCTGCAACATCGTGAGCACTTACAAACTAGCGCAATTATTGACCCTATCTGCGCCCGCATAATTGCGCAATGATTGATCAATTTCGTTATTTTTCTGGAAAATGATATTTGTATCATATAATTATAACACTTGGTGAAAAATGCCTATCAGTTCATTGAATGCACTGAATTTTTCAAATTGCTTAGTTTTCAATTTTTACTTTTTTCTTGTATTACTATTTTACGTAGTTGAAAGTCACAGCAAGTTTGAATATTCTCGCAGGTTTATAAAATAAAACAAATTCAAAAATTTTGAATTTTATGAAATTATTAATTTTCTTGAGATTTCTTATTTTTAGGATAATTTCCAAAATTTCAAAAACTATCGAAATCTGGGAGATTCGAGAAATTTTGGTAGAATGAGAATATTTTGAAATGTACAAAATTATTGAGATTTTAGAAATGTTAATATTTTCCAAATTTGAGAATTTCATTTATTCTGAAATCCAACCTAAAATGTAAAGATGAAAACCTTGAAAATTCTTAGAATTCTAAAATATAACATTTTTGAAGAATTCCAAAAATTTTCCACTTTTTTGAATATTTATTTTGTGCTTTGTCTACATCAGTACATACTATTTTAGTATGTTATTCACGATATATGTTGAAATAATGTATTGAAAAAGTTACAAAAATTTCATATTAAAACACATTAATTTTTCGATACGAGGGAATTGAATGCCCCACTTAGGACATCGCCCTGGGAAAAAAATGCATTTTCGAATGTGAAAAGGGTTGTTTTACTTTTTTTCGATTACTATACATTACATTTTCCCACTGGGTAAGTATGTATGTATGTCTTTTGTGAAAGACTAGAGGATTTGTAGTTGAATTTTCCGCACTGATTTAAGAGATTCACAAAAAGCACTGCAAACTATACAATTGACCCATTAGGCCGAAATCGTTTGAATTTCTGCAGCAATTAAAAACCATCATCTCTAGACGTTAATTCAACTTATATAAATATTGCCGTACTGATTCGATTTTGAAGCCTTTCATCAGTCTCTCCATTGGAATATTGCCAAAAATATATGTATTTAGCTGATGTCAAGGTTTGAACTACATAGATAAGTACATATGTAGAAAACAATTAAAAAGGAAGTAATTCAGAACCGTTTGTTCAGGATAATAAATAACATTTTTATATTTGTTTGCAAGTTTGTTTATTTATTTATTTATTTAATTACGTTGTTTACGCATATTCGCTTTAAATACATGTTTTTCAGATTTTAATTATGCCGAATAAATTTTATTTACTTTAAGTAGTTACATGTTTGGATAAAGTTATTTTATGTTAAATATAATACATAAAGTTAAATTTTTCTTAGCGTACATAGCTATCAATTATAAAATAAAATAAAAGTATGCACAAAAAAATTATAGCAAAACAATAATTCAGAGTACATAATTTAAACTGTACCAGAGCTTAAAAATGTGGAATGATTTTTTTCATACTTACATACATAGGTACTTAATGCTAAATTTTCATTGCTAGCATACAAATTTTCCACCATTCCATCAGTGACATGGTCGCATTACTGATAAAACAAAGGCAGCGATTCGGGAAGCGAAGTAAATATGTATGTTGTGGCTAAAAATTTATGAAAATAAAATTGCCATGAGAAGTTTTAAAGCCTTAAATTTTTGTAAAAATTAATACGTTTTATGTACATATCGAGTCGTAACCGACAAAATAACGTAAGCGACACTTTTATTTCTTTTTGATGCAGAAATGCATCTAGATGCTCTAGAAATATTGCTCCATAAAAAGAATACAAAATTTTTGAAAAACTGTCGCTCACGTTTTTTTGGCGTTTAGGTCTCGATATCTTTTATCGAAAAATTTAATTTCGCCTCTTTGAATCGCCGTTGTGAAATTTTATACGAACGTTGCCAAAATACTTGCATAGTAAACATATTTTCTGTAAATGTTATTCGCTTTGTCGCCATCCTTCTTACTTAACTAAGTTACTAACTGCTAAGCTGCATTAATTTTTATTAAATTAAATTCCTTGCCTTTGCAATTTTTAGAGTTAAAAAATTTTGAATTTCTACATTCTTACGCATAATTAGCTATACAAATACACAATTTACACCTTAAAAAGTAATTTTGAAGTACGCAAAAATATTTACAAAAAAAAAGAAAGGAATGCTGAAAAACTGGTAATATTTTTAAGAATAAAATTATAATTTGCTTAAATTATAAGGAAGGAAAAAACGAAGATTTATCTAGTAAGCCTTCAGAAGACTCAATAAATCCTATGGTTATCACCGCGTCATGCCGGTACTTAATCGATTGGAAAATAAAATAATCACTTTCCTTTATTAACTAGTCATTAATTATTATTATTTTTTTTGTTTTTATTCCAGACTACGGAAAATTCGAAGCTATCTGCCTCGAACAACTCCTCTACAAGGCTATGCAAGTGTCTCCACAACGTTTTTCCCGCCCGCTCATCTAACGATAATTATCACCCATACGACAACGTTTACTCTGCGCCGGATTCTCGCCCATATCCAGGCTCTCATTGTCACTGTCCATTGTCTCGCTGCAGTCGCCGTCCGGTTCGCCACCGCCCATAATATCCTGTTTCCGTTTGGCGGTTGCCATTTCCGCGGCATGTTTCTTGCGCCACTTGGTCCGTCGGTTCTGGAACCAGACCTGCAATCGAGTAGAGTGAAGAAAACGAAAATTGTGGAATTAGTAAAAGTTAAAGGTGGAAGCAGGAGGTGAGAATAAAATTTAATTTTAACTTAATTACTACACATGTGTAAAAGAGATTAGGGTAGCAGTTCGAGAAAAGGTTGTTTTCGCCAAATTCAGAAGTGGAATATTTAAAGTTTTCTATGTAAGCAATTAAAAGTGGGCAACGACAGCCCTGAATGTACATACGTTATTTGCCAACAGCATGCAGACCCCCTTTTTTCGAAAGCAACTTTCGTCAACTTTAATGTCGAGAAAACGACATTGAAAAACTCGATGATGACGTTGGTACCCTACCTACTCACTCCCACACAACAAGCTGATGCGCGCGTCCATGGTTGACGACGTCAGTGATGGCAACATGTGTAAAGTCATTAAGTCGATGCTGGCATTAAGGCGTTTACCAACACATAAGTATTTACAAAATAATACCCTGACGCACAACAAGGCAAGGACATGGCGAGGTACGAGTTTGCAGCAGAGCGAGCGCGTTTTTTTGTGTAGTGCAACACAAGTGGCACAGTTACTACACTTGCGGCAGGCATATTCACCACCCCATAAGCAGCATAATCAACGCCGGTTAACCCTCAATTAAGAGAAAATAAAGCACCAAAAGGATCGGAGTGGGGCGCAAAAACAAAGCAGCAGCGTGTGGATGGTGGCAAGCGAAGGAGTGTGCACATTTGGGAATGCTTAGCCAAAACCATGACTAACAAAATTCGGTTGCGCTTGCGACCATGAAGGAAACGAGTATACTTTGAAGAGCAGCAAGAGCAGCAACACTGACGACCTTAATAGTGTGGCATTCAACATATGTTGCCGCCAGCCGCACGTAAAATAGGAAGGCTGGAATTGTATGGACAGCTGAAAAACGGGCTCACTTTGGCTATCATGTCTCATTGTGTCATGTAAAGTATGGACTGTGCGTAAGCTTTTGTGGCAGCTACAATGAGCTGAAAAAGCACTAACTCAAGCAGTGTATGTTGCACGTTTGTGAGCTCATTGAGCGCCTTGAATGACGGTGCTGACGACATAATTTGCTTAGCAAAAGTAGCGGCCAAGCGAATGAAGCGCTTATAATTTCTCGCTTTGCAACCGTTTACTCGTAGTTGTAGGTTGTGTGGTGTGGAGGCTGCTTTGGTTTAGGTTGTCGTTTTTGATGCTGCCTGCTACTTTTGGCGGTCATTAACACACTTTTGTGCAAGACAATTCACTGCCCTAGCGTCATTAGCCAGCAGCAGCAGCAGCAGCAGCAGTTGCTTTGCCGGAAGCTCATGCCCCGCTTTCCGTTTCTACTACCCATTGACTACTTAGTTTGCTGCCTTGCTTTGCTTTGCTTTGCTTACGAGTTTATGGCCGCCATCTGTTGCCTGTTGTGATGTGGTTACAATGCAGCGGTTAATTACTTTTCAAAGCTTTAAAAATTGTGGGTGGGTCGGGGTATAACCTTTGACGTTTAAAAATACAACTTTTTGATTCTTAATGGGATGTTTACAGCTTTGAACTGATTTTTTTTTTTGTTAAGTGGCCGCAAGATAAAATGATAGAGTTTATGCATCACGATTTTGTCTCAATCTTTTTTATACATATTAGTTCACACACTTATTGAATTTTTCTCTACCAGACTGCTTGTATAGCCCTTCGTAGCCGCAAAACCCAAAAAATTCACACTCGCCGTTTAGTGGACCAAAACGGAAGATGTTGAAAAGATAATCTCCATACGAGACACAGATAGAAAGCATCGGAAAAACCAACATAAAGTTGAGAAAATAGCAGAACCATGATGCAAACAGAATACACATGGATACAGATGTAGATATTTATTCCAAAATAAAGCGAAAGCTTCTCTGCGCGAGCCTGAAATACCCAACCACTTAAGGCAATATACTCGTATGTTATACACTTGTATCTATATGAGTTACAGTCTGTACATAGTATATCTGACTCAGAGATTTTTTGGCCACAGCTGTTGCCACAAAATAATGACCATGAAAAGCATCCTTAATGATGCCATCTAATGGTGTGTTGGCTTTGCTGCTGCTGTGCTTCTTTATTTCGCAGTAAAAGCTGCTGCATCATTCCTTGCGTGGCCTGCCGAAAGCCATGTCTGCCTCTATTGCGAAGGCGGTGAAGCCAACAACGCCGTTATGCTGGCGCTGAGTTTGGAATTTTTTGCAACTGCTTGCTGGCAACATTTGTGCTCCGTATAAATATGCGTATATGAATGAAAATGGCTTGCTGAAAATACAATATACATATATGTAGTACATTTTGCAGCTTATTTCGTCATACACACACACATACACATTTGTATTCCCACGCAGATGTACATATGCCGCCATAGAATCTCAGTCAATGCCACTTTTCTCATCATTTCATTCTTTTAATTCTCTTGTTGTCATAAAGAAAATTAATTACATTTTTATTTGTGCATAATGCGGCATATAATAATTACACAAATGTGCAAATGAAGTTGTAAATTATGAAAGGAATGTGTTACTATGGCTAATTAAATGCAGGTTGTATTGCTATTGTCCTCCATTTGAGCGATTGGCTCTAGAAAGGTTTGGTTTGGATAATAAAATAACAGTAAAAGGGACTTGTTACTCATGTGCCATTTAAGGGGACATATCGACGGTTGAGTGAGAGATCGACAAATCTCAGGTAAGGAACGCCTCAGAACTTTAGGCCTGACTTCGTGGCTTTTTTCTGGCCTATTTTACTTAAAATATGTATAATAAAATGCGGCTTGGAACTATAAATATAAGTACCAATTTAAGCTTAAGAAAAATCTTTAATATTTCTAGAACTTCTTTTTACTATTCAGATATTACAGCGACCTTGCAAAGTACCATTTCTTTAAGGAAATACTTTCTTAGCTTTTTAAAAAATAATATTTAGAAATTTGAAATTTTAAACTGAGTTGTGTACTCTGATGCAGAATGTGTTAAAATTTTTGAATTTTTCTTATCTTAAGCTGAACTTCTTTTTACATACATACATATATTCAAAACGATCTGTCTGCAGCTAAAAATTAGATTACCATTCAAAACTCCACCTAAGACTTAACTTTCATCGATGATATTAATGCTGGACTTCTATATCGCTTGACAGAAGGATTACCTATTGAATTTCAAAATAAAAATTTGCAGGGGGATCTGGCTTCTTGCGGATTGGGCCAAGTACACTGAGATTCCAATCTCCGGGCATGTATTCATCAGACCAAATTCTGTTTAATAGCAGGTACCTCAGCTCGAGCAGCCGCCGGATTTTAACAGCTCGGACGGTATACTGACACTTCTTTTTTCTATAGAAGGCTAGAGCAGGAGGACAAATCTAAACACTTAAACTATGTCGCGCTTAATTTGTCCACTGCTCGATAAAGGAAGAGTATAGAGTCTGCTAAGGATTTCAAAACGGAATTTTGGCTTTCAGCGGAATACTAACGGGATATTGGCCATTGGCCCAGCATAACAATTTTTGTAAAAGCTGTAGAGATAAGGAAGATGTATTGGATTCATTCAGCACTTCATATACGATAGAAAATCGGTATGATTAAATCATATGCAGGGACGGGTCTGAGGGATCCTCGTGGGCATCACAATGGGCCTGTTGGACCCTCGAGTGAACTATTCAACTGAAGTAACCCGTCTAATCTAACCTACTGGCCATACTTGTCAACTGCTTTTACAAGTATTTGGCTAAATAAGGTTGATTTGAAAATATCCGAATGTCTAACGTATTTTTTTCCATTTCTGATTCGAACTACTAATCCGATACAGATTCGATATTAAATTGGGTAAATAATTTCAATAGCCATGGCGGCAAATCGCGGAGGTGGAGGAGGACAGTTCCCTATAGTATTTTTCGAAAAGCATATTTCAATATAGGTATTTGAATGGATTATTAAAGTTGAAAACGAAAGACACAAAAATTATCTTTTATGGATAAATTGTTAATAACCGCCGAAGTCGACATAAGAAAGAATTGAGCTAAGTGTGCTATCGTATTCTGCAACTACTATTCCAACTCGTCAGCTGGGATATTCAAAAAGTTATAGACGAAAATATTTTGGTTTCCCCATAAGGCTAACATTAACATCGAAATGTTTAAAACGTTTTTTCTCGAATTCAGGTTTATCAACTTAGGCGGTTATTACTTATGACCAGAGATATATAGGTAATCTGTGTATTAGTTTTATAGACGCATATACCCGACTATAAAATTCTACAAAATCGATTGACCACGCGTAGTTTCACAGATAAAAACTACATGAAAGGGTCAAATACTAAAATACCAAGAAAATCGTATACACTTAAGTGAATATACATATGTATTTGTATACTATACATATGTATTGTATTTATGTACAAAAAATAATTTTCCTTTCTATTTATCTATACCCACTTGGACACCCAATTGCGCAACCAACCGGTCCAAAGGCATTTTATGACAGCAGCACGTCAAAGTCAATCAAACATTGTCGCCGGCTGCAATCAATTTGCTGCGCTGCCATTCGGACCGAATCAAGCTGAATTTCGATAGATTTATAGGCAATGCATACAAAAGCGAATGGTGGAGGACCACCGAACGACCGAACGACTACATGGCTGCCACTGGGTGGTTGATTGGATACCTGGGCTAACCGAAATGGCTAACAACAGCATGTCAAAGTAAAGCAAAACAAAAAAAAATAGGAACGATTGAAGTATTCAAATATTTATTGCCTTTCGGTGGTGGTGCAAGGCGTAGCGGTCGCCATAGTGCGAGTGTTATGCCAAAAAGGCATAAGAACTGAAGTAAAATCTTTTTTGTTGCATTTGTTACGAGGCGAGCGCATGCGCCGCAAACAAGCCAGCGGGCTATATGGTATGAGAAATCAGTCAACACTAACGAAATGGCTGACATGTTGTCAGGTGGTGTTTGCTGCAATCACAACAACAATGACATTTGTTATT